TTCAAGCTAATTAAATTAGAATATATAAGTTGAGTAGGAATGAATTTATTGAATCGTATCAATCCATGCATGGGCTGAAGGTTACGTTAGTTGTGTGTTGTTTCCTTATCTAATAAGCTTTTAATCAATCAGATTAGACACTGCTTTCAACACCTTAATGACGGCTTTTTTTCTTTTTTAACTAAATCATGTCTACCTGTTCGTCATACAATAGATACAATCAACAGTTTATTTTTTTTATTGCTGATTAGTATTATCAATCACTTTCATATAAAAATAAAAAGAACAATAATATTTTTTTAATCTCTCAATTGATCAGAAAAAGTATCTTCTAAATATTAAATTTGAAACTTTATAGTTATCAAATTAATAAGTGGACAAATGCCCAAAGTAGTTGAAGGGGGTAAGATCGAACTAATAAGCTAGAAGTATGCAAAGTAATTAAGGTAGATCACAGGTGGCGTAGGAGGAAAGGAGACAATTAAGATTGTCGTCATAGGTAGATGTGGGCATGGTGGATCAACGGTGAGGATGAGTTTGGGCGCACCTGGCTCAGAGAGAGCGCGCAAAAACAGGGAGGTGTTTGGGCGCCCATCTTAGCGTATGCCCGCTCACTCCCACCACCTCTATGCACTTTTCTACTCATCTGTCACCATCACTTCTTTCTTTAATTTACCCCCTCCACTCTAATACTAATTGTCAGAAAACAACACATTACAAATGATAGGGGAAAATTGAAGAACCACTTCGAACAATCAGACTTAGAAACACAATATCGAGCTAATGTATGGGTTGTTCAATTCACTGACCATTTTGCAGACGTAATAAACAGTTGAGAGAAATCACTTAATAGAGCAATTCAACTATATTTAATTTATAGAAAATTTTGTAACCACTATATGAAAATGTAGTCTGGATGAAATTTTCGAGTATGGATCTTAATCGACAAAAGACTACAAGAAGGTTACTCAATTTATGTTGAATATATCTAATTAGCTCAAATTAAGAAGGTCAATTGACAGCTCCCACAAGAAGTCAATCTTGAGATCTTGTAGATATCAAGCTCTAACAGTCCACCAATTATTTAATTAATCAAAAAAAAAAATTTACCCAACAGTTCAGTTAGTTACAGAGGTGAAGTTTGGGAACAATGACATCCTCCTAAATGTTCTATCGGGCTGAAGCATGAGGGGGCCTTGAGGTTGGGGATTCAATCTTTTGAGAAAGAAAAAAAAAAAAGTTCACATTTTTACTCCATTAGCCGTCAGAGGGTGCATACCGAAACATTAATGTACTAATACTTATTTATTTTTCCATCAAGACTTCAGGATAAGGACAGAAATCTTAAAACAAGACTAATGCTCACAGCTTGACAATAAAAGCTTCATCTAATATCATAACTAATTGTTTATAATACATTCTTCAAATGCAGCAAAATCAGGTGAAGCCATATCCACCCATTAATAAATCGGGTCAGACTAACATTAAGGGTCTGTTTGGAAACCCGAAAAATGACTTCTGGAAAATGAGTCATTTTCCAGAAGTCATTTTCCTTTCCTGTGTTTGGCTGCACAATAGAAAACTGTCTTTTGGTGTTTGGTTCATTTTCCAGAAAATGATGAAAAATTGTCTTTTGGTGTTTGGTTCATTTTCCAGAAAATGAACAGAATGGCATACTAAAACATTTTAATTATTATATACTGAATATGACAATTTAAAATCACAATTAAATGTTAGAAACAACATAAATGCATAAAGAATCAAGTCTTGTGAAAATTAAAGTTCACAAATTAAGCAAAAACATTTTATTATATAATCAGTACAAAAAAAAATAACAGCAACATGATTTGACATAAAAAATAATAAAAAAAACATGAAAAAATTGCATATGGTTTCGGAACTGGTTTTCCGCATCGGAAACCAGATCTGGTTTCCTATGCGGAAACCATTCACTCGTTTCCGATCGGAAACCAGTGTCGGTCACTGGTTTCCGATCGAAAACCAGTGCCGGTCACTGGTTTCCGATCGAAAACCAGTGAGTCACTGGTTTCCGATCGGAAACCAGTGACCTCACTGGTTTCCGGCTGGGGAAACAGTGAAGAAGGTTGAAAAAAAAAAATTTCAGTGAAGAAGGTTGGAAAAAAAAAATCGAAAAGGGAAGTCATTTTTTGGAAGAAGAAGGTTTGAGCGTGTGTTGATTGGAAGATGGAAAATGACTTCCGTCAAAAAAAAGGGAAGTCATTTTCCAGATTTTAGCCCTCATTTTCCATTGACTAACTATCATTTTTCTTTGACCATTTTATTTTCAGCCTTTTCAAACATCAAAAACCCAAAAAATGATTTCCAGAAGTCATTTTTCGGATTTTCAAACAGACCCTAAAATGTTAAACTTATTATTATATTAACTAATTTCAACTCGTAACCACAAAAAGATTAAAATTAAGAATAATCCAAGAAATAATAAAAATGTTATTGTCGTTGCGTTGCACAGTACTTTATAGTTATCAAAAACTATCATAGCTCATTACCTTTTGGACATAAATCAACCCCCCCACCCCCCACCAAAAAAAAAAAAAACAGAAATTAGATGACATATAATTTCACAAGTCCGGCAAGTAAACAACGTGCCCATGTGGAGTGGGGCCGGAGGAATCAGGTAAAATGGCCCAACTTGGGTCCAATAATGGCAATAGAAGTAGATGGTGGGAGTCTTTCAATAGATGTGATTTGTGGGCCACACAATGCCTTCATGGCTTGCATGTGGGCCCCCTTCCCAATTTCTTAATTGGATGTCACAAATGTTTGGTTATAGGGGTAAAACTTTGGAAGAATGACTAGAGATTGAGTCTTATTGGCGGCAGTGTGGGAGCAACCTCTCAAAGTGAAGGGGGTTCCTTGTGCGCAGTGAGGAAAGGTCTAGCCTCTATGATTTATGTCCAGTTAAATTATCATGATTTACATCCTCCCAAATGTTCTGTCGGGTCGGAGTGTGGGGGGCCCTTAAGATTGGGGTTCAATCTTTTTTGGAAGAATATATTATAAATATAAAAGTATATGATGTTGATTTGTATCGAATACTATTTAAAAAATTGAATTTTTATAATATTTGGTATATTTAGGTATTTATCTTTGAGTTGTACCTGGTATTTGTCGGTATTAAAAATTTCTCTAATTTAGGTTTATAGAGACATTGGAAAAACTCTATCATACGAGATAGAAATTCGTTTGTGACTATCAAACAACAAGAGTCTCTAACAAGGATTAAAAAAAAAAAAAAAAAAGATTACGTTGAATTGATTAATGCGTAAATAATGTGACAGTCATTTTATCGATCGCGTACCGAAATTGATAATGGTACAAAAGCTCGAATAGTAGCAATCTTGACTGGTGATACTGATATCACACTCAAACATCATTCTAAGAAATTTTTTTGGTCATTCTAAATTATAATTGTACAAGGACAGCAATGGAAAAAGCAAAGGTTAATTGAGTGATTAGGGGCCCTCATCACGTAAACACAGTGTTGTTAATTTGACTGATTAGACGGTGGTAGAACCCTCCTACATTCTTAAACCATTTATTTTATGACACAATGTTTAACTTCTAGTAATCAGATGTTTAAGTGTCTTAATCTTACTTTAAAAGCAACTTAATTATGTGTATGGGGAGTTGTCTTCTTCAATTGCTTTATCCCATCAAAAACAAATTTACGTCAATCACATTGTAACCGTACTGTTGGGCTCCATTAACGTATCAATCATTTACCTGTAAATTAAGCCCAACCAAATTATGAATTTGGGCCCGGCCCAGCTATAATTACATCCGTCACTCAACTCTTTTAACCTCAAATAGGGTTTGGGCAAATTAGTGTGTAGCTGTGTGGACAATCGTTATGCTATGGATCCGTGTCCAGCATACATTGTGGACACGGTAATGGTGTCGTAAGTGGCACCGTTATCTTCCACCAATTTATTTTTATTTTTTTTATTTTAATTTTAGACCGCTTTTTTTCTAATGATAAAGCATTCATTTTCGCAAGTTTCCTCAATCAAGCTTCCATTTCTTCTTCACACAAAAGCTCTCTTCAACACTCATTCTCCCATTTTCATAATTATAGGAGCATATGTTCATAATTTTATCACTATACGTTCATAAGTGTAAGTTCATAATGTCAGAGCTCTGTATTCATAATTCCATAACTGTACATTCATAATTGCATAACTGTACATTCATAATTTTATAACTATACATTCATAAGTCCACAAACGAATAACGCCATTAACGGCGATACAAAATCAATTTTTTTTTTTTAATTGGAATGCCGTCGTTTTGGACTCGTGTCCACAATGCATAATGGACCTGAGTCCACAGCATAATTTGCCCTGTGTGGACCATGAATATAAGGTACATTTTTAATATACTAAAATAGTAAAATGTATTAAAATATATTTTTTATTTGTGTATGTGTCTTGTGTTCTGCGTATTTGTGTCTCGTGTTATAAAATTTTGTACTTTGAGAGTATTGATTCTGTACTTATAATAAATTAAAATTTGTGTTGAAACATGAGAAACAGAAAACTACAGAATCATTTAAAGCTTAAATATCAAAACGATATTAAAACGTTACGATATAAATTGCCTCCTTGTGGACACCATACACTAACCCTCCTACTTAATGTGTCACTACACCGTGATTTATCCCTTCACTATTTTGTCAGACCTAGGTTGAGGGCCCTAGAGGCCACTTTTTGTGACATAAGTGGTGATGGAGGTGTGGAAATGACAATGAATGCATGAATAACCGTGATTTACCCCCTTTATTATTCTGTAGGGACTTGAGAGCGAGGGAATTTCGCCTTTTGTGGACAAAAAGTGATGGTGGCAATGTGGGGATAACAATAAATGCATCAAAGATCTAATAGGAATATGAATTAGTAAACAAACTGTAAGGTTGAAAGATCGGCTCTTATATGTGTGAACCATGTTAAAGAGCTCCGAGCTACAAAAACAAAGATGTGAGATGCCCTTTATTCAGTTCTAAAATCATAAGTTTAGAGTATATACAACATAAACATTTTGTTTAAAGGCATAATTAATGATAAAGAAGAAGATTTATCATACAAGGCCTTGAAAGTGGGTAGTGAAGAACTATAGATCAATGGAGATTACAAGAGGATCATCACCCTTTTCAACAACAAATGTCCTGGTAAATCTCTTTGACATGCCAGTGATTTCCAGTTCATATGATCCATGGAATCCTCTGAAGGAGAAGTGTCCCTGGTCATCAATATGTCCATGAGAATGGGACAGCCATTCTTCTTTAAGCGCAAGGTATCGTCTGCCAGCTTCATTGAGATCGCCTTCAGCATTCACTAGATGGGAGTTTTCTCGGGACATGAATAACTCCCAGAATCCCCATAGCATTATGCCTTCCACAGCAGGGTGGGCAAAACATTCCCGAAGCATAACTTCTAAATCATCTGCTCTAATATATTCGTTAGTTGAAGAGAAATCTATTTCGGTGAACCAGACTGGGAGTCCGAGAATTCCCAGTTTATTCAGAGCGGAATGAATAATTGGCCCAACTGGGCAGTCTATGTGTCCCTGAATGCCTATGCCTCCAATAGGCGCCCCTTGTTCCTGGAGATCAAGAATGTGCTCGATATACCTATCTGGGCATGACTGACTGTCGCCACCATCTTCAATATGGTAATCGTTGACAAAGAGGACAGCAGATGGGTCAAGCTGGTTTGCAGTCTTGAACATGTTTGCTCTGATTTCTTCACCCAGTCGCTCTTGATAGAATGAGCCATGCATCATCTCATTATTCACATCGTAGTGTTTGATCTTTCCCTTGTACCGTGTGAGCAGGCCTGTTATGCGGTTTTGAACAGCTTTTGACAGGTCACTCTTGCTCAAACCGCGTACCCATGACTGAACTACATCCTCCACCTCCCAGAAGATACAATGACCACGGACTTGAATGTTGTTTCTCGTGCAAAACTCCAAGAGCTCATCTGTGTCTTTATAATTGAGCTTTCCTTGTTCTGGTTCTGTCGAGTACCACTTCAACTCGTTCCCAAACACAGCCCAATTAAAATTTTTGACAAAGAATTCAGTGAAGTCTTCATTGTCTATGTTTCCTCTCGAAATGCATGACCCGAATGGGAAGCTATTTTGAGTTTGCCTTACTCTCACAGCAGCTCCATGCAAACTGTCTGATCCGGAGAATTTCAAGATAACATCACGCTTGCGTATCTGCAGGTCCAAGCAAACATGGATATTCACATTCTAAATAAATAAATAATAATAATAAAAACAACCTAGAATAAGCCCCTTCCTAAGCATTTGGCTTGGATTTGAATCCCATCTTCAAATCATAGTTGATAGATGACTGTACAATCAGCCTGTCCACAATTAATTTCTTTTGTGATGAAAATACTGTAAGAAACAGATAGAGAATTACCTTATCGGTTTCTCTCCTTAAGTGTTCAAACCGTGCCTTTCTATCAACTGCAAAAACATGAAGTGCAGCAACCATTAAGTCAACACCGGGAGCAGGACCCTGAATGTAAACCATTATCTTAGCAGGTTCTTTCTCAATTCTGAAAGATCCAGAAATTTCATGCCATCTATCATCATTAATCTCAACATGGCCCCCATTCACCCATTGGCTGTCCACATCAAGGGCAAGATTTACAGTCTGAGCACCTGTTGTTTTTCCAATTCTAACCCATGCAGACACCTGATACGTCAAATAGAGTTTTACTTTATCTGTAATCATCTGAGCAGGACCCATCCATGTATGTGTACGATTTGTCACAAGAATGTAGCGACCACTTAAAGGTAGATGAGTTCCAAGAGAATCTCTAGCCGCTGGAGGAATTATACGTGGTGAGCCTGTTCCGACAATCAGGGTGCAGTTTCCAACGGGAAACCACCCATTTGTCCCATCATTAAGGTTGGTATTTGTGATAACATTGCCACCAAAATCTGCATTCTGGAGAACTGGATTATATCGAACTGCCTCTCTTGTTTGGAGTCATTATGGACTGAATTAACCAAGAAACAGCTCATAACTCATGAAACGCAAAAAATATAAAGATGCGTTCGACTAACCTCAATCCTTGGTGGAGGGGATTGAAGAACTTTAGCTGCATGTTTCACGGTTAAACTATTAAGGAGAATGTCAGTGCCTGGAGGTGGGCCTTCCAAAAAGATAACTACCTTAGATGGGAAACCATTTAGAAGAAACTTTCCTCGTAACTGTGTCCATTCCTTGTCTGTTGCCTGTACACTACAGAACAATCCAGGTTCTTTTAGCAATTTCATTAAATTGTTTTAAAGGAAGCTTCATAACAAAATGCTATTAGTAAAAATTAAAGTTGCAAGATAAGGAGGGCAAGACATACGATGCAATGCCTATGTACTCTTCACGGAAATCAGCTCCCTGAACCAACAGTGTTGCCTGAACATCTGCACTAGTGACATTGTTTCCATATAAACGAACTACAGCAGTAACTTCATAGGCAAGCTTTCGCAGTACTGTTCCCGTTATCTCTTGCTGAATTCCATTCCAGATCTGTGTCCTCTCCGTTGCACGTGCAAAAGAATTTCCGGACACTGGACGGATTCTCCCATCTGCCATAGATTCATGCAGAACAATCTTGCAGCCTCTCCCTGACCAGTTATTCGGGCTATCCTCAAATATGGGGCTGAACACTTTCCTTTCTCCAGCAGAGAAAGAATGTGTGCTAGAACTCTATCAATTACAAGGCAAACAAAAGCTGTCATGAACCAAAGGAGAGAATTTGAGCAAACTACAAAAAAACACTGGATAATGTGAGTAATTTTTTACTCTTTTCCTTTTGTGCAGACAATTTTCGACAATGATCCTAATTCCTAAATCCACTCAAATATAGACTTTGCTACCAATTGGAAGTACCAACAGCCATATGGAACAAAAAGGATAAGAGGAGATTGGGGTATACTCACTTCACATTTTAAGGAACTCGAACAGGTGATCACAACTGATTTTACAAGTAGGTCTACACCAGGTAAAGGTCCTTCCAGATAAAATACAACCTGATCAGGTGTACCAGAGAGTGAAAATGTGCCTTCCAGTTTTTCCCAACAGTCTTTAGAAACAGGTCGTCTGCACGTGCAAGATTTCCATTATAACACCGGGTTTTATTACATAAATAAGTAAAAGGCATGCATAATAAGAGGGAAAATAATACCTTCCGATAAAGACATAGCTAGTAGCTGAATCTCGATATTCTACTTTCAGCGTAGCCTGGACATCAGTACAACCTGAAATTGCTCCCGAGACTCCAACAAAAGCACAAACTGTGTAAGTGGAGCCTGTAGAAACTCTTTTGGTAATATCTTGCTCCAAGCCTTGCCAACATTCCTTGCGATTAGTAATAACAGCATAACTTCCTGTGTCTGCTGGAACCACAAAGGCTTCACAGCAATTGGGGTGCCATAAATTCATCCCTTCAGAGAAGTTGTGGTTAAGGATGATATTAGTACCAGAATGGTCCGTCGAATTCTTCCTTGAATTCTGCAGGAGAGAAAATCATATGATTCTAGCTAACCATAAGCTAATTTTGCAGTGTATGAATAAACTAATTTCTCTTTATGCAGAAACAAGTTACCTAACTATTTTATAGCAGAAATCAAAACTTGAAAACTTACTAAGACCAACATTGCTGCAACGTTCAAGCCAAGTATCAAACAGTTGGTGCTCATGCTATAAACCTACAATTCTCTTATGCATAACCACACATTTTCCTATCCCAAATACTCTAGTGCCCTCCAAACAATCAGGATACCAATATAATAGCATTATCAAACAGTTTTCCGTTATCTGTGAATTGCATCTGAATACTCAATAATCAGAAGAAACTACCAGCGTATATGCAATGAGTCAAACGGCATCAAGAAAGATCAAACTGGGTAAAACGGCAAAAAACTGCACAACCCAATCGTTAAAACCCATTTTATACCTCAGAAATGTTGCCATCGATTAGCGATAGCTTCTCCATATCTCTCTTCAATCCTAGAAAAGTCTGCACTTTTCGCATATATCCAATTTTCACCTCTCGGACAATAATCAAAGCTTGCCTGAGAATGGATCTGGGGGAACAGAAATCGACGAGGAATTTCACACAAGAATTTCAGTCATTCCATCCCGGATTGTTTGCAACTTAAGAAAGATACAAACCACCAGCCAACCTGACACTGTTCTCACTGCTCACTTTAAACTTTAATCTGTTTGACTTTTGAATTCCACAATCTCTTCCCTCTATTTTGTTAGTTAAATTCAAACAACCTCAGAACATAAGTCCACACTTTCCGATCAATTATCGCCGAACTACACTCTTTATCGGCCGGGAAGGACTAGCTGCCTGCCTGACCGGAACTTAGCTTTGTAGAAAAATTAGAGCCTCCATAAAAATTACTCGTATATTTTTTTAATTTAATTATTGCAATATTGTATGTAATATTTAATTTTTAAATTATTATTTTAATCTCATCAATCTCCTAAAAGAGCTTTTATGATCAACTGAACTGTTTATACGGACTAAATATTATCATTATTAATAAGTTACATGAAGCTAAAGATATTTTACATGCAATAATAATTGTTTCAGGCTGTGGGATCAGTTATTTACTGCAGTTTTGATTTCCTGTCCCTCCTCGTTCATACACTGGTCAAACTTGCACAGACCATTACACAGGAGGATGGAGATCTTTTGCGATGGCTAACAAAAAAACAATGTTAGTAAGAACGTTTAGTACAAAAATTATGTTTTATCTATTTAGTTATGTTTTATCTATTCAGTTGTGTGACAATTTAAAACCACTGTTGGTAGGTTTATTACTGTATTTCCAGTTAATGCTATATAATTTCAAGAAATTGTACAACTCTATACAATGTTGAACTATATTTCAAAAATACAAAATTATGAAATTTCTAAAGTGTCAATTGTACATATACATGTAACTAAAAGTAAATGTAAAATGTCTTAGTGGTTGTGCGAAATGTAAGAAATATCGGTGTCGATTGGTAGCGTAGACTTTTTCTTAATAAAAATAATGGCCCTGTTTGGTAAAATGGTTGTTAGCTGATAGCTGTTAGTTGTTAGCTGATTGTGTTAATTAGAGTGTATAAATAGTTGATAACATTAGCTGATTGTAGAAAAGTGTTTGATAAATTAGCTGTTAACTGATAGCTGTTTGATATAATTTCTTTTCTCAAAAAGTTAATTGAAAAAGTTGCTTGGAGTAGCTTTTTGAATTTTAGCCTTTTGGAGTTACAAAAAGCTAATTAACCAAACATTTATATTGATATTTTAACTTAATCAAACAATTAATAGTAGTCAAATAAGCCAAAATTGACCTATAGGCCAATTTTTTACCAAACAGGGCCAATATATTTATACTTGATATGTATCTAGTAACACATTTAAAAATTTCTAGAATCTTTAATTTCTTAATTGTTCCAACGCTTCATGATTAAAGATATTGAATATGTGGTATGAACACAGGCTTATAAGAGTAGTCCAAGGATCACATTGGGTTTGAACTTTGAAGGTGTGTCACCTAACCCTAATTACACAAAACTTCTTGGAAACTGTAAATGTCACTCCACTGTTTCAAAACAGGTGGGCAACACAATAATTGAATAAAAATGAAAAAAAGATGACAGATTTGGAGTGTAGATGTAGTATTACTAGCATTGAAATTGAATTGTTGGGACAACCCAACCAAGTTGGTCAGATTATTGATTTAATAATGATTATAAGTTCGATTCTTATTATGAGCACGAGCGATCTATTGATCTTCTTGATTTGAGCCGATCAGCTATGAGCAACCTAGGCTGGTAGTTTACCAACACAGACCCTTAAGTTGAAGTGGTAAAAAAAATCCAGCACAGATAGATATGATAGTGATATATGGTATTAGATGAAGTAGCATTGATGATGCAGGCAAATGAGGGGGACAAAGTGGGTGAGTATGGCGGAAAACGAAAGCCCATACGCCACACCTGTGACTTCACTTGTCTCTTTCTGCAAAATGCCTCTCTCTTATGATCTTATCACCTCCCTGCCCCCTTTTTGGGTGGTTGCAGCCTTTACACATGGATGCTTGGAATTTGGGAGCATTCTTTTGTTTCATTGACTGTATTATTTCTTGGAACTTAGAAACAGCATGGCATCACAGCTTCAATTCTCCTGTTTTCAAGATGAGCATTGCTAGCTAGCTTGCTGTATACTATACAATGGGTTCCAACTCCTAACCTTAGTTTCTTGGTTGGCCAACATTATATTTTGAAATTCTGGGGGCTCATGGTACGAGGTTGTGAGCTCCTTCCACTTTCATACCTTTTCTCTTTGCTCATCTTTTGCACCATTCCCTTCTTGCATACACCCATCTTCTTTGATTTACGAGAAAGTCAATATCTGCTACTTGAAAGTGCGTTTTGGGTGAAATTCATACAGTGATCCTAGTCAACAAAGGACCACAAAAAACCATTAACCAGTTCAAACCAAAAACGTCAATAGACAACTCCCACGAGGTAATCAAACTTGAAACCTTATGGTTGCCCCCACCATATCCATCTTCTGATGCTATATATGAATAGCCTTTTAAGTCTAGAAAACCAACCCTCTCTCTGTCTTCCATTCCTTTCCTCTTTCTCTCTGAAAACTAAAAAAAAAAAAAATGACCTGCTATCAACAGAGAATGCTTTGGTGCAGAAATCATCAGCTAATCATCTTTCTGCTGCTCCTCTCAGTTTCAAGCTTCATCCATTTCAGTTCATTGGCTCAAGGTCAGTAATGGGTCATTTCCATATTTTCAAAATATCAGTTTCTCTTCATGAATTTAAACTTTCCCTCTGTGCATTTCAGGCAGAGATACTCCCAACCTGGAAAGAACTCAGGTAAGGTTTCACATCAGATACACATCAATCATTCTATCACAATATCATTATTGATAAAATCTTTATCATCATGCATGGATGAAAATGAAGAGGAGAAATGAAGGAAAAGAAGTAAAGATGAGATCTTTGATTGGTTCAAGGCCTCCCAGATGCGAGAGCAGATGCAGGAATTGTGGTCACTGTGAAGCAGTTCAAGTCCCCATTGATGATCCTTCAGACCCCAAACACCCCCAAACAAGAACCCATCAGTTCAATGCAGTTCCCAAAGTTGTTGCTTATTCCAGAGGAGATGGTATCGACAACTACAAGCCCATGTCTTGGAAGTGTAAATGTGGAAACCACTTTTTCAATCCTTGACCAACCTGTATAAAAAATTAAACCATCAAAATGTTACCTATCATTCTTGACCAACATATTAATAGAGAGGCAAATTCATGTGCAGATTGGTTGGCCACAAATGTGGATAGCACCCAGTTTGGTTGCGGGCAATATTGATGTGGTGTAATCGTGTTTGTTTTCAGGCCGTTTCATGTTGTTTACATACCCTTTTTTTCTCTTATTCTATTTGTTATAGTATGGTAATAGTTTTCTGTCATCTGTGAACTGCAAGTAAATATTTCAAGAATAAGAAGAAACTAGCAGTGTATAAAGAATGACAGAATGAATCGAAGTGCATCAAGAAACTATGATGTAAGTTCCAGAATCAGAAACACAAGATTAGAGTTACATGAATTGACAAGATTAAGGTACTGAGATGCCAACAACAAAAGCTAAAAATGGCTATAAAATCTGTGTAGGAATAGGAATGGATTCAAGTTCAAGAGAGCTCAAACAGCAAAACTTGCAGACCCAACTGTTCAGCAACCTCGGGATGTTAACTAATAGCAAGAACTAAACGGTTCAGACTTTCAGAGCAGCAACTTTTTGAATCATTTCAAACACAAAGGTTGATGTGCCATTTCGCGTTTAAGAACTCTTAGTCCTCACACGTTGATGTGAATTCCATTGTAACAACATCCATATGATTGACGTTCCTGAAAAAGAAAGCCATTTGACTTATTAGACTAATGGGATATTCAAAAACGCACTATGGGTAATTGGGTATGATATTCAAAAACAAGACTTAATTATACAGAAGATATCAGAGAAAATATGGAGAGAAATGGTCAAGTTAAAGGAAGCAGATACATTTTACGGTATGATTACCTGCAAAGACTCCGACAGTCATAAGGTTTCTTATTTCCATGGTGTGATAGATCAGGAATTCAGACAAGAAATGACCCAAGGCATAGATAAAAGATAAGAAAGTCGCTAAATACAAGGGCTTGTTGTCAAGGTTAAAGGCACAGAGATAGCAAAGTGTACAGGTCAACAGAGTCCACACTCCAAATGTCCTCCCATGAACTTCAGTCACTGCAAATGATACGTGAAACACAATAGTTTTCATTAGGCAGGTAAATCGAAAAACTTTTTGGCCAACAAGAAAGGGTTAAAAATCAATAACCCACCACGACAAAGACCCTTAATCTTTCCAGTTTCCTCATTTCCCACATTTATGGCTTTAATTTTTTTTTTTTTTTGGTAGAGACATTTATGGCTTTAATACTGTTTCAAGCTTCATACATAAATCTTGTCTTCTCTATATTCTTGTTCTCGTTTATCTCAACAGAAACATTGCTAGAAGCAGCAATTATAGTTTCTGATCTGAGACAATGCAAAATCGAAAACTGGTTTAGGAGCTCTACATCCATCAATTAATAACACACACAGCAATTGGAGTTTCTAAATCATTAGGGGTCAATCTTTCTCATCTCTAACCTAAAAGCACTAAAATGATTCCTTGACTACCATTAAAACACCCAAAGATCAAATCTTTAAGCTGAAATACATCATGTTGAACTGGTATAACTCTAACAAGCCAAGAAGCATTACAACCATCACTAATGGAGCAAGGCCAAGATCTTAAAGGTTTATCACACTTCAATTACTAAACTAATTGCACACATTGCGAACTAATGAGAAATTCGTAAGAAAAATGTGAAAGATAGAGAGATTCGGAAGGGGGAATACATACTTGTGGCTTTTGAGAAAACGGCGAGCCGAAGAGCCCAGATGTCGAAGAACCCGAACCACACTGATGCTAATCGGAGCGTTCCCACTAGCATTAGCCACCATCCCAGTAGCTTCATCTTCTCCGTTCGTCTCTGAGCAGTCAAACTGGAAAACTGATAAGCAACAATGATTTCACATGATTCTTTAAAGAATAAGAATGGGCAAATGATCCCAAACCATAACAAAAAGTACATTTTTAATATATTAAATATTAAAGAAAAAATGACACTTTTTCTCCTGTGTTATATGTTTATAGTATTTTTTCTCCCTGAATTATTTATGCATTCATATTTGTCCCCTCAATTATTATAAAAGTGGCGATTTTTTCCCCTGATAATATTAAATGGACATTTCTACACTTAAAACAAATATTTTATTTATTTCTCTTCTTCAACAAATTATTGCTTATACGTAGGGATGATCACGGTTCGGTTCAAACTGAACCAAACACTATAGCAATCAAATTAAAAAATTTCGGTTATGATTCATAATATAACCCAATATTTGGGTTTTCGTTTATTAAAATTGTGAACTGGAAAAAAATAGATTCTGAACCGTGAACCGGAAGTTCAAATCGGAACAACTACTAGCAATAACTTAAATTAGAATTATAATATTTGCAAATAGTGTATGTTTTTTTCCACATTTATATTGACTCGCACATATAAGTATATATAACCGCGGTTTCAGTTTTATTTTGAACCGTCAGTTTACGATTTTGGATCCAATTTGAACGGTTGGTTCAAACTTTCTTTTAAAATTTTATTTTTTTTTATTTTTAAAATATTCTAAATTCAACACTTAATGTATTTTATTTTTTCAAATCGTGGTTATAATTTGTTGGAGAAAAAAAATAAATGAAATATTTATTTTAAGGGTAAATATTCCATTTAATATATCAGGGGAGAAAATTGTCACTTAAATAATTTAGGGGAAAAAAGTGCTATAAGTATATAACAAAGGAAGAAAAAGTGTCACTTTCTCAATATTAAATATACATTATTTTAATACTGAATGTACATTATATAATATAATATACACTCAGAACAAAAATAACGTAAATCTCCTAAATACAATGTACATTATTTTTGTACTAAATATACATTATTTTTAAATTGAATGTACATTATTATTTTATAGTAAATAAAATATGATACACACAACTTGTGTGGACCAATGTATCATGGGCCGATTGATTATAGAAAAGCCCATGTAGTAAATAATTAAAAAGCCCAAAATTTGATACGACGTCGTCAGAGCAGCAACTGGATAACTTTATCCTCATATACTCACTCAATGGTCCTCCGAGAAGAAGAAGAAGAAGAAGAGGAAAAACAATGTCAGTCTCGGCCGTGTGTGTTTCAAGAATGGTGGTGCTCCGCCGTTCTCCACCGTCACCCATCGGAGTTCCAATCGGCGGCTCCCCCAAGACCTTACCGGCTCTAGGCAGCAACAGCGTTGGGGGACTGGCGATAGAGTGCTCGTCTCGGCCGAAGAAGAAGGCGACCTCCCTTCACATAAAGACGCGGCCCAAAAAGACCCAACCTTGGGACGTCCGCCGCAAAGGGCCGACTTTCTACCCCCCTCTCCCGCCGTTGCCCCCCGAGTGGACACTTGTCTCCGAAGAAAACACCGCCGCAGCCGCCCCGCCAGAACCCGTTGCTAATTCTGAGTAATTCTCTTTGTTTATGATGTTAATTTGTCTGCTTTTGTTGTTGTTTTGACAATATTCCTCTGTATTATGAGTTGCAAATTGTTTACTCCCTGTCACTTTAATCCGAATCATTTCTCAAAGTGTCCAAGGTTTCTGCAAAGGAATAAACATTAATTAAGGAAAATGGGTTTACAATGGTCCAACTACTTCATGATATCAAGATAAAAAATTAAGAAGTTTCTGGTTTTGGGAAACTTAAAAAACAAGAAAAACCCCTCAGAAACTGGGAGTTGAGCTTGTATATTTGCATTGCATTTACTAGCTTGAGTGCCTTTAAATAATTGCTGTTGGGGCTTATTGAATTGTATTCCAAGTGTGGAGGATGGGTGATTTTCTATGAGTTTTTGAAGAATAAAACAATCCAGATTTTGGTTTCTGGAGTTTTGTGGACTGCATTTTCTCTGGTCATCAACAGATGAATTACTGATGTGTGATGCTGTTAGCTCTGGCAATGGAAATTCTTGTTAGTGTTGTTTCAGTCTGCTCAGTTCTATACAAAAGCTGGAAGAAGTATCCATGGATCTGCAATTTACACGATTTCTAAAATTCCCCTTTGTTAGAATGCTTTTTTTTTTTAGTGTCGAGAAAATCGCAATCACTACCCGAGGGTGCATACTGTGGATAAATGCCATTTTATATTCCTAGCCCGTAAAGAATCACAAGGGGATAAATTAGTCTGAGTTGTCCATAATTGACCAAATTAAATAAAAAAGTTAATAGGCTAATAAGTAACAACCTGATAAACTAGGTTGGGTTGCCTTGTTGAATTCATCCTTAAACTTAAATGTCCCTACTCACATTATCGGATGCTAAACTTGGCATTTACCTGCCTCTGCCCAACAAAAAAGAAGTTCAACCCTGCCATGACTGAAATATCCATGACCATAGAAGATAGGAACAGACAGAGTCGTTAACTGAGACAGACACATAAATCAGCCTCAACATATATTAAAAAAACCACAAAACTAGTTAGAAAACATGAATGCTAGGTCTTTTGTTCTTACTCAAATTTAAAACCATTTCACATTCCAAGACAATGTAAATGAATGAGCTAATATCCGCAACAAGTAATTAATGGAAAGGCTTAAACTTCTTGAGACTGGTGATAAGACCCTGTATAGATCCAGCGGCGGCAACCAGCGACACCGCAAGGCAAGTAAAGCTCAGAATCTTCAGCCATGTCCACCGGAATGAGTACTTGCGAATCCTCGCCTGCGCGATGTGCATCTCTATGGGGAAGTACACCGTCAACGGATAGAACGACGCCGCCCCTATCAGCCCCAGAAAGTCGTTGAAGAACGGAAATATCATCGCCACCACCGCCGTCACGATCACGAAAGCCGTCCGCCACACCAGCCTAAAACCGTTTATGTAGTACTGGCCGACGAACGGTAACTGGACTGCGTTTTCCGCCGTTATGAATTTGCTGCTCGGATATCGCTGCTTGCAGTGAAGCTCCACGAAGCTAAATAATGGCTGACAGAAAACCTATAAAAAAAAAAAAAAAAAAAAAAAAGACTATAGTCCACGTGTTGCTTGAAACAGTGTTAAACAGGTGATATTTCAATTCAGAAAATACCTGGTAAGCTCCGACGAGGTGGATGGCGATGCAGATGTTGGCGACGTCGATTAGCCAGAAGGGCTCGTAGAAACCGAAGCCGGTGAGGAAATTCCCGGGAGCGTCGTTTCCGAAGGCGGCGTAGCCAATGCAACCGCACATGACGTAGAATACGGTGGTGGTGGACACTCCGATGGCCGACGCTTTCTTCATCACCATGTTTTCCGGCGGGTGTGATCTCAAAGTATCCTGTAATAATGCACCATTTCAGGTATTTTTCAATTTGGTATCAGAGCAATAAATAATGTACCTGAATCTCAATGAGAACGGTGGAATAAGCATAGGCGAATGCAATGTTTCCGATGGCTTGAAAGCAGCGCCATATTTTATCAGCTCCGGTAACGTCCACCCCAACCACCACCCCCGTCAGGGTCGAATTCGCCGCCCGCCCGCTCCCTGCAACTTTGGCTATGGAGAGGCCGATACCGATTGAGGAGTAAGCAAAAGACATGACAGCCGCCACGATGGAAAGCCATGAAAGCTCATGGAAGTTGGGAATTTGGCTAAGAACAAGTTGGATTGCGGCAAAGATCATCATGAAAGGGTAACTCGGAACCGAGCAATCGAAGTCGTGCCCGTTCTTATGGAAACAGTTCGACTTTTTTACAGCCCTGCAGGTTACAAAACGCTGTTAAAGAACCGAACATAAACGAACGAAAATTATTCGTGTTGGATTGTTAAGGTTTGTAGTGTTTGTTAACGTTCAGGTTAACGAACCTCTTTACGCTAATGACATGTTCATTAACGTTTGCGAACACGTAAAAAATGTTTGAATAAACATAATAAAGGAAAATAATACTTACACCATACTGATGGATGCAGTAATAGTGTATCCAATAGAAATCCCTACGAGATTAGCGTACTGAGATAATCCACACAGTTGAACCTTCACGCCACCTTCCAGAAGCCAAACAAATAAGTAATTATTATTTTTATTCCATACAATTAAAAAAAAAACATGTAATAAGATTTGATTAAAGAATATATAATAAATCACGATCTTTAAAATATATAATTATTACTTGAAAAAAAGGATCGGATATTCATGAATATGACCAGGATAGAATTTTGTTGTTCATGTATATAATTCTACCGGTCATAATTAGCTTAGTAACTATAAGATTCTAAGTTTGACTACTCTTTTTGATATTAGTGTTAATGTGTTATGACTATAAGGTGAGTTTCATGTAGCAGTTGAGGACTATTTCATAAATTTTTTTTTATTTTTTATTTAAAAAAAAAAACTACCTATCACATTTTTATTTTCTCTTTTTTCTATTAAAAATTTATTGAAGTATTGAAGCATAAATTAATATCTCTGAGTGGGAGAAGCATTATTAGGATTTATTTCTCCTTGTTGTTTGCGGATTAATAGACATGTAAAATTTACCCTATTCACACATACTCCGGTAATCATGTTTCTCTCGTTACTCCAAAATAATAATAATAATAATAATAATAATAATAATAATAATAATAATAAAATGCTATATAAAGTAACAAATATCATAAAGGCATTTAAGTATAGGAAAATTCATTAATAACTGTCTTACCAAAATTATTAGATATATACTCTTTATTTGCTTCTAAAGAATAGTTAATAAAAATAAAAAAAAAAAATCCTTTTTTAATGTTTATAGATAATGCTTCTGAGAGCGATTTTAGTAAGCGAAAAATATTTTTTTTTTTTATTATAACCTTATATGTAAATATTAAAATATTATTAAAAACATTGGTCAAACGAAATCTCGGAGAAAATATAAAAATATAATAATTATTACTATATGTAATAATGTAATAATTGAATCTGAACACTAGAAGTTTCTTAAAAGTAATAGTGTTATACCCAAGTGTGAACGGACGACATCCATGTATGTATAGTTTCTGGTGCCGGTGACGGGACCGGGAGATCTATAACAGTCGGCAAGCAAGGCAGAAGTGAAGAATGTAATGAGCGAAAACGCCGCCAGTACGGCAGGTCCGGCAGCCCATCCAAGCTGCGCTATAGCCCACGACAGAGAGAGGACTCCTGACCCAATCACCGCCGTGATGATGTGTGCACTTGCCGTCACCAACGTACCTTCAACATTCAAAATAATCAAACACCAATAACGTTACCACATTACACAACAATAATCCCGACAACTTTATAAACTTTTCTAGCACCCAAAAAAACACACATTTATTGATTCCGATTAAAGAATTCTGAACTAGACCGACTCCGAACAATAAACAGATTAGTCATACGTATCAAAAAAATGATAGATCTAAAAGAATAAAAAATGACAGACGAAAAACAAAAAGATATATACAAATTCTAGCACCAAAAAACGCACATATACAGAACCCTAAACCCTACCTATTCCGGACCGTATCCAGATTAGTCCCACCACTAGAGATACCAAATGTCTCACCGGACCATATCAAAATTAGCCCTACCACAGAATATATCAAATATCCAAAAAACAATAGATGGGAATTAAAACGTAAAAAGATATATACCAGTTCTTTTCTCGTGCCCATCATCGTCAAAGTTCTTGAGAATCTCTCTACCTTCTTCCACATACATAGGGTTCTGTGACACGGCCATGAGTAGTCTAGGATGCTTTCGAGTATGGATTGTTAGAGGGAGAGGGAAGCAAACTTATAAGGGTGCAAAACAAGAGAAAAACAATATTTTTTTAGGAGAAGTCAATGGTGGGGAGTTTAAAAAGACAAGTAGATTCAATTCTCTAGCAGACTTTTCCACTGAATTTGGAAAATCTGGGATTAAAATAACCCCAAGGAAATAGAGTGCAATAAGTACATAGGTATTCTGCTAGGTTTGGTTAAGAATGATGGTGGGGATTATGAACCTTAGAATGTGCGGCCTTATTATAGTGTTCAACAATAATCAAAGTGGCCCCACTTTTTCTTTCTTTGGGTTAGGTCCAAACCATTGAAAATGGTCAATTCATTTTTAACCATTGATTTGATTAAGATGTTTGTAATTCAATTGCATTAGCCAACTCATACATATAAATAAAGGATTAATATTTGATGCACCACCGGTATATAGATGCCACCGACGATATGATGAATGAGGAGATGACACATCATTAAAGAATAAAATCAATGTTAATTGGATCCTTTTTTGGAAAATATCTAAGACTTGTATTCTTTTAGGAAATTATTTTATTTATAATTAACAAAATATATCTACTTTCCAAAACATATTTATTACTTAATTATTATATATTTAATTATCTAATTAGAAATAATGAAAAGCATTATAAAACCTGTAAAACAATTCTAAAACCTGTAATACGTATCACTTATAATAATAATAATAAATTTCTAAATATCATTCCTGTAAAAGAATTCAACATCCATTCATTATCTAATTATTTCTTCTTTTGTTTTAAGAAATTATTTCTAAATTATTATATTTATAACTAAGAATACTTTAATTTTAATTAACAA